GTATGTCTAACCTACAAAACATGAAAAATGTCAATACCAACTGTTAATTAAAGTTCAAGATTTATTTGTGGTGGTTTTCACCCTTACTGTTGCACAGTGGGTATTATGTTCAAATAAGACTTGAATTAATTTCCTGTGTCTGGGTGGTTGAGTTATCAATATGATATACAGTTGGGTTAATTTTCTGCTATTTGTAATGATTTTAGAATATTCTTTATTTCAATCTTTCTGACTTAGTTTTGTTTTTTACTCTGTTATGCTTGAGTTTCAAACAATACGCACAATGTTATTGGAATTAAAGTAATGAAAATAACAGAGTGCTTGTTTTCTAAAAGCTTGGAGATGAAGAAGAAAGAGAACATTACTATAAACTGTGTCTTGGAGGTAGGGATCAGGAGCTGACAAAGTTCCTGCCCTCTTATCACTTGCATTCCAGTGTGGGAGACAGAAAATAAATAAGTGAATACTGAAATACTGTGTTCCATGGTGCTAAGTGCAATGAAAAGCAGCTAAGTAGACTGAGAATTAGGGTTTGTACAGCCAGACTCCATCAACATTCACTCTGGAACATGGATCAAGCCACACTTTTCTGTCCTTCATCTATGAAATGCAAATAAGAATAATGCCTACTTCATATGGATTTTTGCAAGAAGTAAGCAAGGTATTTTTAAAATACTCAGGATCCTATCTAGCACACAGGAAGTACCATGAAAGTTTTAAATTCATTAATAGGAAAAAATTAATGCAGAGAAGGGGCAGAAGACTGTAAGAAGAATGAAGGGTACAACACATATCGGGTGATCACGGGGAGCTTCACAGAAAAGTAGTGGAGATTACTGACTCTTGCTTAATATTTATTGTTTTCTTGTTCATCTTATTAAGTAAACAGAATTCATCAACTCCCATTTTAAACTAGAAACCTGGTTTCCAGTCCACAGAATGCAGTCTCAGCTCCACAGTGGGGTAGGCCAATGGGATATGAGTGTGCATGATTCATCCAATTGCCTGTTATTTTTAAAGACAGAGACATTGCCCAAATTTTCCTTCTTTTTGCTAAACAACAGCCTAGAGATGCTTCCTGTCAATATTGTCAAATCTGCTCTGGGGATGAGAAAAATGGGCTACTGTACCTATGTTAGTATCTGCCTCCCTCTGCTGGCCATTCTTGTATTTGTTTACACACTGGCTATTCTTTGCTAGATAGTATTCTGGAATTTTACTGACCTTGAATATTTGCTAAAGGGTTCCTTTACATACTCAGTTTTTATAAGGACATTTTAAGTAGATCCAGGTTTATGAAATTCTATTTTTGCCCCAAATTACAAGATGATAATTAAAAAAAACTCAAATAATTGTTATCATCATCACCACCACATCAATAATTCATCTTTGTCCCATGAATTTCCTAACATTTTTCTCCTACATTTTCTCATTGGATCTCATAACTCCTCAATAAAATAAGTAAAATCTAATTCCCATTTTATGAAAGAGAAAACTGAGGCTCAAAAAGGTGATGTGACTTGCTCCCTGTAGGGCGCAGGCAGAATGCTTTACCATGAATCCTATCTTTTTTGTCACTTAGGAATATGCTCCATATGACTAAGAACCTTGAATAACATAAAAAACAAGCTAGAGATTACCATAACACTTTATATCATAGGTAATGGTTTTCTAATCTTCCCTAATAATGATGATTTATTGCCTTCTCACCCCATACCAGTCCCTGCACTGAACACAGTAAGTACACCGGGCCATTTAGTACCCCAACATCTCTAGGAAGTATCTATCATTACCAACCCCATTTTACACGTGTGTTCTCTGAGCAATAGACAGGAAATGACTTGCCTACAGTTTCTGAGAACTTCAGTAAATGCCAGAGTTGCGATTTGAACCTAGTTCTAGAGTCCACGCCATTTTCTCCCCTCTACTTGCACACAACTTCCTCTTTCTGCCTGGACATGTGAGCCAACATCCACCATGATCTCTACAGAGCATGACTCAGCACTTCTCTCTCTTTCCTCCCTTCATCAGGGTGTTATATGATCTCCTTCCATAAGTAAATCTTCAACTTTTAGAACTTCAAATCCAGGTGAACATGACCTTTGGAAGCTTGCATTGACCCATAGGACTTTATTTTCAGTGCCTACACTGTGTTCTGGCATGGAAGTGTTATAGCTGTCAGGGTGGTAGGTATGTGGGTAGGTATTATCTTCTCTTTACAGATGAGAACTCTGAAGCTCACATAACTTCTGGATGGGAAATTTCCTTTGACTAAGCATCAGAAGACACATACCTCCTTAAATGTTATGTTCTCCTCAAAGACTCTTAAAGCACACGAGTTCCTAAGCTGCTGAATATAAAAGATATGGACAAACACATTTTACCTGGTTCTGAAATTTCATATTCAAGTTCAAACTCCTGATTCAAAAATATAAAGGTGTGTACACAATATAATGACCTCATGAATTTAATGTCTTAATTGAGTTGAATTAAGAGGAAAATGTCATGTTGACCTACATTTCAAACACTTTGTAATCATCTATGCAATTCTCCATCTAATTCTGCCAACCCATTTTCTTTCCATACACAATTTATTCATATAAAATATATTTCCATCACATGTTGTTAAAATTACACATTGACCTTTCTCTTCAATTCAAAGACCAGACTCTATCCAGGAAAATGATAAACTAATATTGGTGATTGAATGAACAATCAGTAAGTCGTTTTATAGTGAGGCTGAAACGGCCAGCAAATCCAAGTCCAGAGGAGGGAGCTGAGATGCAGAGGCAAGAATGAAACGGGATGTCATAGAAACAGTTGGCTGGAGTGAAGGATAAAGCAACGAAGAAAACAGGTCAAGTCTACCAGCATGGAACTGAGATTCTGGGTGACAGTGACTCAGGATGGGGAAGGGACAAAGAAGTCTTCTCTATGACCAGTCAGATTTGCCATCCAAAGCCCTGGCTTCATCTCCAAGTCTCAGGCTGCTACTGGAGTTGCATTATTGTTCAGCAAAGAGAAGGGAAAGGGGGAAATTGGGGTAGTGTATCTGTCTTTAAAAATAAACAGGCAATTTTAATCATGCATACTCACATCCCATTGGCCAAACCCTACTATGGACTCAGCTCTGTGGGCCTGAAACCAGGTTTCTAGTTTACAATGGGGAATTGATTATTACCAAATAATAAATACCAAGCAAGAGCCAGTCATCTCCACCACCCCTGTTTGTGGGGTCTTAAGCTTTGTGATGTGAAAAAGAGATATTGAGTGAGGAAAATCTTGACTCTTAAGCTACTGCCAACCTCTCAGCACCTACCCTCTAGGACTTCCAAGAGAGAGACTCCACTTCTTCACTTGCCAAGAGACGAGGTTGAGTTATTGCTCTGTAGCAATAACGTTCTATAATTCTTCCATGATTCTTTAATAAATTACTATAGAAATGTCTATTTTGTTAATTTAACAGGAAAGTATTTGGCATGTTAATGGTCATGAATGACACTTAAAAAAATCACATTTTTAAAACAATCCAGTCTGACAGCACAGACCCAATAACTCTTCCCATATTCTACAAGCTGAAAGCAGGAAGGACACCCATGGCCACTTCCTCCTACTTCCCCAGTCCAAGCAATCTGTGCCTGAAGAAGCTCTGAGTTCTATGGGCCAAAGTCATTAATGCTGAGCAACCAAGAATGATCTGAGACTTAGTGGCTCCCAGGGGTCCTCTTTTCCTCCAGCAGTGAACTTAGATCTGATTATTCTGCCACTTCAGGGAAATTCTCTGGAAGGCAACTCTGTGGAAACTGAACTGAATGATTAAGCAGTATTCACAAAGGGAGATTTGTTCTTGTATTGAAGGCTTGGGTTTTAGCTACCCCATTCCTTCTCAGCCTCACCCTTCCCCAATGTTCTTTCAGTGCGCTGATTACACTGGGAGTGTAATCCAACACACTGTGTCTTCTTATTTCATTCTACTAAGGAGATATGCACACCTTTATTGTCACCAGAGTAATGGGCCCTGGTCACCAAGCAGGGCTTGGATCGGCAATGCCAGGGACGTTGTTGAACTCATGATGGGCCACAAAATGACAATTACAAATATTAAATCCTTAGATTTGGTGGCAAGAGGGAATGGGGGGGATTATCTGTTAATACCATTGTCCATTTGATCTTGAGATGGAAGCCAGCTCTTAAAGATTTCAGAAGGATAACTGGTCCAGCCCCCTCAGGTGGACAAGTTCTAACCATCCAAGACCATTCAAGCCTTGTGTGAGAGTGTGTCGGACCCTGCTGATTGTCAAGAGGGCCAAACCTTACCTTCTCCATTACTCCCAGGGCCTCAGCTTCTAAACAAGTAGGCCAGTCAAGGAATTTCCTCAAGAATAAAAACAGGTTCCAACATTTTTAATTAAAAAACTAACTTTAATAGAGCTCTTCCTAAGTATCAAGCACAATTCTGATATTTATAGTCCTAGCATCTTGCTCAAATGCTCAAAACAATCCAGAAGTCGCCACTGTCATCACCCTATTTCACAGGTAGAAAAACTGAGTGTCCTCAGGACAAGAACAACTTCTGTGCCTGATCAGTGTGTGGGGTAAATTTGGGTGTTCTTGACTGAGAGGCTTCCAAACTTTTATTGTCCTCCTGAAGAACTTGGAAGCTTCTGATAGTCTCTGGAAAATGTATTTCCAGAGAGAGTCATAATCTGTCCAGCATATAAACAACATAAAAGCATCATACAAAAATTAAAACAACATAAAAATTTCATTCTAATTTTATATAATAATTAATCTTTTCTTGAATGTTAATAGACAAAATAAAAACTATCCCAATAATAAGCTATTTTAAGACTTTGGGGGGAGAAGGTTTTCATCTCTGGTGTTGAAATGATGACAGAAGATCCCCCAAATCCTCAGCTTTCCATCACCGTGTCTCCTGAGTCACACATGGTCGTGTACACCACAAGGGCTCAAAGATCGGAAAGCACGGTGCTGATGGCTCATTTCCTGCAAGACGAATCCTCAGGACTTTTCACACACTGAAGAAACTTGATAGGCCTGTGACAAGAAAGCAGAAAAGGAGATCTAGAGGCAGAGAAACACATCTACCATTCAATTCATCAAGGAAAGACGCCCCTTTGTTAGCAACAAAGATAGGTGTTGATCACTTAGCATCCACACAAGTTCCTCTCCTGCAGTGACAACATGGAGAAAGCTCACATTTAGGAGTGAGTGACTTAAAGTGGGGCCTAGTTTAGTTCCCTTTCACTTGTTAAGCCATAAAAATAAATACTGAGAAGGGATGTCTAATGATGATACATGGACATGAAAACGAATGTTTGTCTCTGGCATGGCACAGACATGGGCTATGAATGTCAGCTGATGATCAAGAAACAGCACAAGCAGCAACCCATTTTCTTCAGAAGTTCACTAGCTGGGAAAACCTAAGGACTAGGCTGGGGATGTGGAGGGGAAGGAAGAGAGATCACCGTCAGTCACCATTCCAGATCACCATCAAGGCCCAAGGAAGATGCCTATAGATGGCAAGATGGCTGTTTTTACTTCAAGAACAAATCAATTACCTGTAGTCATCCTCACAGGTAAATGGAATATTCCTCTTGCTTAAAATTAATTTCAAATCATCTATGATGGGACTCGAGCATGTGTGGTAACTGGGAAAGAAAGAAGAAAGTGTTAAAATAACATGATCTTGCAAATATCTCCTGAGTCATTTTCTTCTAGGTAGCAGGCCTTGCACAAAGCCCTGGGATAAAGAGGTGAAGCAGAGGTCAAATCTGAGAGTTCACAGGTCAGCAGGGGAGCCTAAGGTGCAAACTAGGTAGATACCTATTACGAAGATAAAATCGAGAGGTTGTTGATGGGCTGAATGTAGAATAAGGCCCCATTCATTTCCTGAGCCAGGAAATAATTTCCTCAATACATTCTTAAGACTGTGGATTCTTTTGCTGATCGATTCCTAAAGTAAACGTGAGACTATATGGGCACAAAGTGGTAACATATACCTGTAAACTCCTCCAATGTCATGCATCACCCAGGCTTTTAGTACAGAAACTTTCCCTGGATGCAAATTATGGATTTCCACACGTCCAAAAGTGCTAAGATAGAAGAGACAAAAAACAAACTGAATACATCAGGCACCCCCAGCTCCTGTGAAAATCCAATAGGTAGGGTGCCATTAGTTAGAACCCACTCTCTAGGACTGATGCCACCTTTACTCTTTCAGCATGACCCCCAGTGAATAAGATTATCAAAATAAGATTTCTTATCTGAAGATTGATGTTGATTCTTTAAGTACTGGTACTACCCTGTTTCCACGAAAATAAGACAGTGTCTTATATTAATTTTTGCTCCCAAAAATGCGCTGGGTCTTATTTTCAGGGGATGTCTTATTTTTCCATGAAGAAGAATACGGTACACATTTATTGTTAAATGAAAATAAAGAAAATTCATTACCTGTATACGGTACGGTAGTATGGTAGTTGTCAACACAAACCAGACAAACTGTGAATCCTACAGTCTCAAGAATTTACTCATTTATTCAATGACAATCATGTCATCATCTTCTGGAACATCATCATAACAATCTAATTCCTGAATTTCCTGGTGAATTTTTGTGACTCCATTTCTTTCAGAATCAGTGGACCAAATCTCTCATGTTTAGCCTAGGGGGTGCCTTATTTTCAGGGGATGCCTTATATTTCACTCAGAAGGAAACCTGTAAGTAGGTCTTATTTTTGGAGGATGTCTTATTTTCAGGGAAACATGGTAGCTTTCCCAAGACTGGGCCAACACAATGACATCCCCTGAGAGCTAGTTAAAATGGCAGAATCTCAGTCCACCACCCCCTGCTAAACCAGAATCTGCATTTGGGCAAGCCCCAGGCAATCCACATGCTCAGGTAAGTTGTAGCACAGCTTTGAAAGACTCTAGCACCCTATTTGGTTTGGCTCAGTGGATAGAGTTGCCCTCTAGACTGAAGGGTCCTGAATTTGATTCCAGTCTAGGGCACATGCCCCAGCTGCATGCAAAAGACAGCTGATCAATGATTCTCTCTCATCATTGATGTCTCTATCTCTCTCTCCCTCTCCCTTCCTCTCTGAAATCAATAAAAATACATTTTTTTTAAAAAAAAGAAAAAGAAAAAAAGACCTTGGTGTCCTGCTCTGACCCCACTCCTAAACCTCTCCCATTAGTCTCTGACACCTGTCACTACTATTGCAAATACTTAGGTTCCTCATACTAGATTATAAAATTCTGGAATGTTAGCATTTTCATCTAAAAGCCCATAAGGTTAAGGTCAAAAGCAGAAGACAAAGGACAAATGCTTCTTCATAGAATTAAATATTAAAGCAGGAGAGATGGGAACTTAATTTGAAGCCCCTAGAGTGGTCCCTCTTCTCAACCCAGCCTTATCCCAGGACAGATTGAAAAACGAAGACTGAAAAGGTAATCCAAGTGGTGAAAACTGTAAGCATAAAAGGCAGCAGAAGGTATTGAGGTGTCAATGGTGTGGATTAAATGAGAGAATAATGGCTGATACTCATTGTGTATCTTCTCTGTCAGCACAGAGTTCATCGTTTTTCACACACTGTCTCAGTTCATCTTCATAGCATCACCACCTCTGCAGGTGCACACTACAGGGGCTCAAAGATGGAAGTGCCCTGCACAAAGTCCCATATGCAGTACAGGATGGCTTCTGGAGTCCTGCTGTTAACTGAAGCGCTGATGACCAGGAGATAGTGAAGGGCAAGAGGCCATCATTCTTTTGGGATGCTCCCAGTAGTTGTGGTTCTGGACTGGGACTCACTTGTTCATGGAGGAAACAGGATTAAGGACAGATCTTTGTGGTTAGTGAGGATTCAGATAGGCAGAAGCACTAGGGGGACAGTCAGAGGGGGAGCAGCATGAACAAAGGCAGGAAATGGGCATGGAGGAGAGAGCTAAGAACATTCCATCAGACTTCAAAAAGCCACAAGGGGGAGCTGGACACAGTGCAAGGAAAAGAAACTTGCACCTATGAAGAAAAACCTCTCCATACAGTACAAAATTTTTACCTTTTTTGGCCCAAAACTTCAGGAGTAACCTTAAACATGAAAAGTATATTTTCCTATAGATAAACTATCTAATAGGAGGCTGTGCTAACCTTTGCAAGTAGAATGCAAAGCAATCAGTACCTGCTTTCCCTCCCATCACCATTTATCTCCCCTCCACCCTTGCCCAACTCCCGTCACCCTCCTCCCCAGTACCTGTTTTTATCAAAGGTGTTACTGATGGACCCATTGAGCACCACCTGCACCACACCACAGGCATTTTCGGCAAACTTAAAGAGAAAAAGGAAGCCCACAATTTCTCAGCATGTAAACGTAACCAGCAAGCCCCAGCAGTTGCACCCAAAACAGCCCTCAGTGCTAGCAGTGAAGGTGGGGTAACCCAGATGGCTCCAGCTCAGCACTCCCAGGTCTCTGTGCTTTCAGCCCAGCCACTGGAGGCTGATGCTTCACAGGAGAGTTCTGGAAGCAGTTCTCTCATCTGTGTTTGCACAGTGAAGTTCAGCCCCGTTGTTACTAAATAGGTGGCTCAGAGGTTCAGCTGGGTAAGAGGAACATCCCTGGAGGAGGAAGAGAAAAGTGCTTTCTTGGAGCCATAAACTGTAGACGCTGCATTTCACTTAGGGAGCAGGGCAGCAGATCGAGGGTGAAGGGAATGGGGACACCAAGGAAGGCAACACTGAGGCCCGCACAGGCACAGAGAGAAATGCGGAATGTATGTATGAATGAATGAATGTATGTTATTAAGTAAAAAGTTTTGTTTCCTCATACAACATTCAGCCAGACTCCTTGCCAGGAACTGGAGGAAACAAAATGGACAAAAGAAAGCAATCTATGCATTTCCTCCAGGAAGCCCACCCCCAGGGACTGGCTCATGGTGAGGATTAGCTTCCTTGGGGGCGTGGCCACTGCTACTGAGAGCTCTTTGAGAGCCATGGGCCTGGCTGTCTGCTTGCCGCTCAGCCTGGGAGCCTTGGAGACCCATGGAAACCTGCGGGGAGGAAAAGAGGAAGGGAGAAGTCCAGACCTACAGGAGTGGGGTGGAGGGAGTCAACGGGGGAGGGGGCGGGGGGAGACATCTATAATACTTTCAAAAATAAAGATAATTAAAAAAAAACAAAACTCAAACACTCTGTGATGGAGATTAGGAAAGAAATAGAAGAGAGAGGGGAAAAAAGAAGAAGAAGAAGAAGAAAAAAAAGAACATAACAGAGGGCAACAAAAGCCAAAGGATGAATAGGGTTCCCCCTGGCAAAGGCTGAGGCAGCTGGGAACAGAAAGGCCGGGGGACTTGAGAGAACAGTGGTGTTTTGGGAGCAACTTCAGTGAATGTTGAAGTTGGTAGATAAGTTCGTTTATGGGACGCTTTGCCAAGGAACCTGGCCTTTGACCTACTGGTAATAAAACACCACTGAGCAATTTGAAATGGAACTGTGAAAACCCACTGTGGCTTTCGTCTTTCTGTTGGAGGTGATGAGCAGAGGACAGAGGCCCAATTAATGTCAATCACAGGTGCTAACTCAACTGCATGCCCACTGGGTTGATGCCAAGTGCTGACCTGCAATGCCATGTGATCCTCAGAGCCCTGGGAAGGAAGGCTTGAGTCCATTTACCCTGAGGTGACTTGGAAGCGAGAAAGTGGGATAGGGATTCACTGCCTCTATTGTCAGAAAAAGAAAGGATCTGCTCTGATAAAAGAAGGCTATGTACCTACATCTATGAGCAAGCATTTGGCCAAGATCAAGGCGCAGTCCCAGGGTTGCCCACAATGGTAGTGTGCACCTTCGATCTCCTTCACTGCTGTGCTCCTAGCTCCAAGGACACTGAGGGGAACACAGCACATGCTTGCCACATACAACATGTGATTGACTTTAAAAGGTTTTGGCAGTAGCACTGCACCAAAACATGTCATAGAATGATATTATAGACACTTTTCTCAGAAAAAGCAAGAATCCCCCCTCCCCAAGAAAGACAAGAAAATCTATACAGTGCCTCTGATCTTTCACAGCACATAGTAGGTACTCAACAAATATGCATTAGAGGAATGCATTCTTAGTGAAAAGGATAGCAGTAACCCTATGGGGCAGGCATCAGTTTTGTCTCCACTTCACAAATGAGGAATCTGAAGGTCAAACACATGGTTAAAGGATCTGTGTACATTGAAATGGCCTCCTGACTTCAAATCCCAAGTTATTTCCTTGTCTCTACCAGGGTTTACCTCTTATCAGCTCATTGACCTTGGATGAGGCCCTTAACATCTGAGTCTCCATTTCATCACCTGTAACTTTCCCTCAGCACCTACTCTGAGGACTAAATGGGATGATATTGGGAAGGCACCTGGCTCGGGACTTGTCATAACTATGCAATTAACAAGTGTGAGTTCCCACTGCCCCAGCTCCTCGGTGTCTGAATTTAATTTTGGAGAATTCTAGGTAATATAGTTGTACTTTCTCCCTCTTTTTCTTTCCCTCACTTCTTTCTTTTCTTTCCCATTTTTTCCTAGTCTACTTTCATGCAAAGGAATGGCTTATAAGAAAAATAGCCACAAAGGTAGCTTAGGGTAAAGTCAGAAATAGGGAGAAAGTCGCAGGGAAGATGGTGAATATTTCCCAGGCAGATTCTGGATTTGGAGTCAGGCAATTTGGGATTAACTCATAGACCTGCCACTCATTGAGGACATTTAATACATTGCTTTCTTGTCCGCAGGACTATTTGCCCATCTGTAAAATGGTGTGATACTCATGGTACCTTCTTCAGAGGGTACTTGTGAGAATGAAAGGTTGTAATCCATGTGAAGCCTAGAACTGTGCCTGGCACACAGGAAGTTCTGAAGGTGCCAATCATTAAGACTGGCCCAGGAATCTAGGATTGGCCAAGACTTGGGCCAAAGGATTAAACCACACAGGAGATTCCTGCAGCCAAAGCCAAGCCAAAACAAAAACAAAACAAAAAAAATGGGTAAGAGCAGGGATTCTACCCCTGGAGCCCATGTGCCCCCCATGCATATCCTAAAATGGTATGTGAAAATCTTCTAGAATGTAAGTCAGGGACATTTTCATCAGGAAAGAATCCCAAACTTCTGTTCCTCAAAGGGTGTGTGATCCAAAGAGAATCCAAACCAACCATTGGCTAGATGGCCTCTCCACTCTGTGGTCTCCCAATAGTCACCCAAATTCTCGAAGTCCACGCCTGGTACTCACCCTTTTGGATACCGTGTCCCAGAACACAGACACGGGGTTGTTTATGCAGTCTTTCCTCCAGTGCGGGCAGGACTGATAGTTCATTTCTAAAAGACATGGTTTGGAGACGATAATTAAAGTGGAAAGTCACAGGTGTAATTAAGCTCCGTTCTTCCCTGATTGTTCAGTCAAAGCAGAACCATTATCCAGTGGCACTGCTGCCAGGCTGGAGGATGGAGAATGGAACACATCGCAACCCAATTTAACTAAGTGCCCCTGACTCCCATCCAAGTCCCTACCTTACCCTCCAAACCCCAGACAGGAACACGGGGACCAGCTTTGAGTCATCGTTCTGGGAAACTGAGAAAGCTCATCTGACAGAGACAAGCCCCCAACACTGTCCCAGGGTGCAAGAGGAATAGGACACAAAGCTGGGTCTCAGCCGTTCTCCCCAGCCACTTCTCTGCTTCCTGCCAACACTCTCTGGCCCACAGCCTTCCTCTCCTCCTCTCTTAGGTTCAGATGGCCTCAGAGTCTTTCTACACTCTCACCATCAAGACAGGATTAGGTTACCCTGACAGTATTACTCAGTGGTTAAGTGTCAACCCATGAATCAAAAGGTCATTGGTTCAATTCCTGGTCAGAGCACAAGCCTGGTTTGTGGACTCAATAGGGAGGGTGTCAAAGGCAGCCAATCGATGATTCTCTCGCAACAATGTTTCTATCTCTCTCTCTAAAAATCAATAAAAACATTAAAAAAAAAAAAAAAAAAAAAAAAAAGACAGACTCGCCGAAACTGGTTTGGCTCAGTCAATATAGCGTCGGACTGCGGACTGAAAGGTCCCAGATTCAATTCTGGTCAAGGGCATGTACATTGGTTGCAGGCACATCCCCAATAGGGGGTGTGCAGGAGGCAGCTGGTCAATGTTTCTCTCTCATCGACATTTCTAGCTCTCTATCCCTTTCCCTTCCTCTCTGTGGAAAATCAATAAAATACATTAAAAAAAAAAAAAAAAAGACAGGCTCAAGCCTCCATGAGATACAATAGACAGTAAGATTTTAAAGTGTACAATGCGACGATTTGATATGCATATGCACATTGTGAAAAGATTTCCCATCTGGAGTCAACTAACACATCCATCAGCTCACACATTTAACTCTGTGAGTGTCTCTGTGAATAGAACAGGTAAGTTCTACTTCAGAAAATTTCAGTTATGCTTCTACATTATTATCCATGATCTTCACCATGCTGTACACTAGATCTCAAATCTTCTTCATTTCATAAGTGGAAGATTTTACCCCTTTATCAACCTGTCCATATTCCCCATCCCCTGCCCCTGGAAACCACTTTTCTATTCTGTTTTTATGAATTCAATTTTTTTTAATTCCACATATAAATGATACCATGCAATATTTTACTTTCTCTGAATGGCTTATTTCATGTAGCAGAATGCCCTCCAGGCTCATCCATGCTGTTGAAAATGACTTTATATACTAGAGGCTTGGTGTACAAAATTCGTGCACTGTGGGGTGACCCTTAGTCCAGCCTACACTCTCTCCTATCTGGGACCCCTCAGGGGATGTCTGACTGCCAGTTTAGCCCTATCCCTGTGGGATTGAGCCTAAACCGGCAGTCCTTCTCACAATCTAGGACTACTAGCTCCCAACCATTTGCCTGCCTGCCAGCCTGATCACCTCCTAACCACTACTCTGCCAGCCTTATTGACACCTAACTGCCCCCCTGCTGGCCTGATCTCCCCCAACTGTCCTCCACTACTGGCCTGGTCACCCCTAACTGCCCTCCCCTGACAGCCTGGTCATCCCTAACTGCCCTTCCCTGCAGGCCTGATTGTCCCCACCTGCCCTCTCCTGCCAGCCCAGTCACCCACAACTGCCCTCCCCTGCCAGTCTGGTCACCCCCAAATGCCCTCCCCTGCAGGCTTAGTCCCCCAACCCCCCACAACTGCCCTCCCCTGCCTGCCATCTTGTGGCAGCTATCTCTGACCACATGGGGACAACCATCTTGTACAAGGACATGAGGGTCAATTTGCATGTTACCTCTTTATTATATAAGATACACACATGCCACATTTTCTTTACCTGTTCATTTGACAGCACAAGCACTGGAGCATTAAGTCCTGGGGATAGAGATGAATTAAACAGAAGCCCTATTGCCAGAGACGCCTGACAATCAAATAAATTAGAGAAAGACCCACGGGGTTGGGGTGGTGTACAGCACCATTAGGGAAAGTTGATTTTGAAGGATGAGTAGGAGTCCTCAGACAGATGAGAGAGAGGAAGGTGCTCTATGCAAAGAGAGTGTGTGCAAAGGCCGGAGATGTGGAATCGCCTCATGGGTTAGGCTAGCACCACCAGAGCAGGAGGGATGGGGACGGGAACCTGGAAGATGAGACATCTGAAAGACAGAGGCAGGCCATGCTGAGGAATTTGGGCCTTCCCCCAGAGACAAAAAATAAAAATAAAAAAAAATAAAAATCGCTATTTAGGCTTTAGAATAGAGACAGAAACAATCCTTGGTAGCCATGGGGCTGACTGAAAGGGGTGAGGAGTGGGCAGTGAGGCTGTTAGAACAGTCCCAGTGAGAACTGTGCTAGTGCACTGGGCTCATGAAGTGTGATGGAGGTAGAAAAGAAAGAATGACCACATGAGTTGGTCTAAAGAACACTATTTCAGCCCAGCCTTGGTGAAGCAGTGGTTGAGCATCATCGATCTAAGAACCAGGAGGTCACAGTTCCATTTCCAGTCAGGGCACAACAGGTCAAGTTGTAGGCTCAGTTCCCAGTTACAGGTGTGCAGGAGGCAGGCAATTAATGATTTTATATCATCATTGGTCTCTCTCTCTCTCTCTTCTCTCTCTTTCTCTCTCTCTCTCTCTCCCCCCTCCTCTCTGATATCAATTAAAAAAAATTTTTTTAAGACACTATTTTGCATCAGACTGAGTTGTCCTTGGGGGCATAGATGGCATCAGGGTGGGTACCTGGGCCCATCCTCCACACTGACCTTTCAGAAACCCTGGTAGAGCTCAGGGCTCCTTCACCCTGCCATCCCCAGACGATCCTCATGGCCCCCATCCTCACCATTGGAGCCTGCATCTCCGCACCAGTTGAGGCCGTCGGCAATGTAGCCTATCAGTGTGTCCTCCAGCGTGAACATATCCTGCTGCACCGTGGTGTACAGGTGCGCTAGCTGAGATGATTTGCTCCAAAAGACACTCTAAGGAAGAAAAAAAACAAAACACTATTTTTAAAATATGTTTTCTATTGGGGTTTTTTTTTGCTTTTTTTTTCTTTTTTTGCTTTTTTTTTTAAGAGAGAGAAAGGGAGAGAGAGAGATAGAAACATCATTGGGAGAGAACCATCCATCAGTGCCTCCTGCATGCCCCAACTGGGAATAAAGCCCACAAACCAGGGATCAAACAGCACCTCTTGGTTCAGGGAGTTGATACTCAACCACTGAGCCACACTAGCCAGGCATCACAAACTACTCCTGAGATCAATTTAGTAAGCAAAACAAAAATCTCCTTTCCAGGTACGTGTGTGTGTGTGTGTGTGTGTGTGTGTGTTCTAGGACACAGTGTAAAATAAGCTCATATTTCTAGGTTGCAGTAAAAAAAAAAAAAGTCTTAAAGCCATTGATCAAAATCTTATACTGAACATAGTCTCGGACCACATCTGGAGGAGTCTAGGAAGTGACAAAATTCCTAAATTTGTCTGCAAAACAATTTTTTCCAGGCATTGTTCTGGGAGAGAAGCGTTCGTTGTTTCTCAAAGAGCTCACTATCCTCCTCTATCCTTTTCCAATTCTCTCTTATGAAAAAGGAGGAGGAGGAGGAGGGGGAGGAGGAGGAGGAGGAGGAGGAGGAGGAGGAGGAGGAGGAGGAGGAGGAGGAGGAGGAGGAGGAGGAGAAGGAAGAGGAGGAGAGAGCAAATACAGGGCGTGTTTTTTCAGGATCTCTTATAAGTTCTTGGATGCTGAAGACAATGCCAATAAAGTGCTCAGTCCTGTGCACTCTCATTCAACAGTGCCACCTAGGTGCTGTCCATCTGGCACCTCTTCAAAGTGAGGTCTCCTGCTCAGGGACTCCAGCTCTACCCCTGAGACAAGGAGAGGCTGTCATCCAGCCGAAGGGCTTCACAAAGATGGCTGGGGCAGGGTGAATTTTCACTGCCCGTGCTGACTCCAGGAAAGATTCACTCAGAGTACTAAAACCCAGGTTCCAAAAATTGTGCCATTTCAACTGGTCACCTACCTCCAGGATTCACTTTCTCACTGGTGAAGGGGAAGGGGTGGTGGTGGCATCAGATCTGCTTGTCTCACGGGATGGCAAGTGAAAATTGGCATGGCTGTTGTTGTTTGGTTGTTGCTGTTTTGTTTTTGTTGTTATTATCACCAGAGGTCAGGGAGCGTTTTATAATTGGCTAAAGTTGGGTTCTTTTTGTTCGGTTTGGATTGGGTTTCCTGTTAGGCTTTTATTTTATTTATTTATTTATTTATTTATTTATTTATTGCCTGATTTTTAACCAAGTGTCCTTTCCTCTCGGGGTGATCCCATTTCTCTCTCCAATGTCCTAAATCCTAATCACATCCTGTTCTTCCGTGAGCCCCACAAACTCCATATATGCCATCCAACCCTACATTCTTATGTCCAGATTTTCCTCCTCCCTCATCCTAGTTAAACTTTGGTCCTGTGACCTCTTCCCTCTGGCTTTCAGCCTCAATTCTAAAACCAAGAACTTGACCCAGTTACCGAGTGGCAGGGTATGGTTTGATTGGTCAGCTTCAGCAGCAACTGGTAGTCTTGCTCTGAACTGTGACAAGGATCCTTGGAAAGAAATGCATTCATGAATGCCTTCCCTATCTGTCCGCAGTCTGCATGTCTGTGAGATAAAACATGGAAAATAGAGTGAAGCATGAATACTTAGATTTCAAACATACTTTTGGAGCATAATTACCCTATCCCCCAAAATCTCATGTAGGAGACATCTACTGAATGCCATTAGTTCCTTGTAGGGTCTCGTCTAATCTGTACAATATTTTTATGGGTGAGCATGACCGTCCTGCCCCACAAAGTCCCTGCCTTCATGAAGCTCACTCTCTGATTTAGAGAGGCAGGAAGCACACAAACAAGTAAGCTAACAAAATAAGTACAGATGATGATTAACATGCAGGACATCAGTGGGGATGGACGACAGCAGAATACAGAAGCGATGACCTTTCGAGGGAGAGGCTGGTCAGGAGCAGTCTCCCTGAGAGATCTTGTAAACTGAGACTAAACTATGAGTAAAAGTGCATTCCAGCCCAAGGGTCTGGCATGAGCAAAGGTCCAAAGCCAAACAGTGAGCACAGAGCTGCCTTACATTCTAAATGTTGCTCTTTCTTCCAAACAATGCTGCCTCCCACAGGAAATTTAAACTCAATGCCCTCATCTCATAATGAGGTTATTCCTAACAGAAGTGAGGCCCTCAGACCCCAGAGGGGTTGTCATTTCCCAGCATGATAAGTTGAAGACCAGAATGGGGCACAGTTATTCTCAGGTGATGGATAAAATGAATGGGGCAAGAGGGATGGGGTAGAAAGGGTTAAAGTCTTATGCTATGACATCCATGCTAAGGTAGAAAAGCAGATATATTTGGTAGTTAAATCCAGGTGGTATGTTGTCAGCTACTTCAGGGTTCATGACACTATGCTGTCCTCTCTCTATAAACCTACATCCTTCCCACTAGCAGTTATAGTTCAACTCCCTGTCAGTAAAGCAACATCACACACATAATGTGCTGTTCTCCAGGGAAAGTTCACACACCCTAAATCCTAAAAGCACTTAGATCTCGAAGGACAAATGCACACATTCGATGAATTTTCCTGCTGACAAGTTGTGCAGAGCAGGTTGTATTGGCCCAAAGAAAACACGAAGGTTACCTCAGGTAGTTGTCAAATTTGAGGCTACTGGAGTCAGTATTGAAGGCAAAGACTGCCACCTTGTGTTGAGATGAGCGATTCATGAGATTTACCTAGGCACTTAGGATTTTCTCAGCAGAATTAAAATCAGAAGACTCTCCGAGCCAAAGGAAAGCTTAGAATTTATTAATTCGTTAATCTGGACAATATTTATTGAGAATCTAGTATGTGCTAGGCACATTTATGGGCAGGTAGGATACCAGTCCTTGGGGGAGATTACATTCTATGAGAGCGAGACTCTAAACAATAAGCAAGTTATCGAGTACCCTAGACATGTTTGAGATCCATGGAAAAGACTAAGGGTAGAGTAGATTGTATCTGACACACTCCTATAGGATCTAGCAGAGAGTTAACAACACAGAAGCACCCCACCCAACCACTGGGACCCCTCTGAATTACGTAGGTTATTGGCTGTTACAGATCACGCTGTACTGCAGCATTAAGTTCCAGGCCAGTCTGCCCCAGCACTCCTGAAGGACCTTGGAGAGCAGGACCTATGTTTTCTTTCTCCCCAAAGCTCCCTGTCCTACCTGGAGCACCAAGCCCCCAGGAAGTCTTTACTAAGTGTTTACTAAGTGTTTGCTTTTTTTGTACATTTTGCACTAATACATCTTACTGACTAAAAGCTAATAAAATGCTAACATCATTGAAATGAGAGGCACAGGGAAGTAAAAATGAAGAGTTGGCCACAAGACATCTTGCTAGATGAGGAAAGGGGAACTAAAATAAATTGTGAAATGAAGATAAAGGAGTCGGAAGAAAAAAGTCCCTATGAGCACAAAAAATGATCATTAGGGGACGCAGTAAAATGGATGAAGAGTTTCCTCTGATTAAGTGTCTCACTCTATGTTTGCTTCAACCAGCACGATGTGGACCTGCGTTTAATGGAGCAAGTGCCTATTGAGAGCAATGTGCCAGGCAGCAAAGGACGCAGAGGTGAACAGAACAATTCCTGCCCTCTAGGACCCTAACATCACTTGGGGCAGCGAGGAGGAGAGCTGTCATAGAAGGGCTGGCTCCCATCCCTGGACAGAAGGCAGCTATCAGGATGGATGCCTGCAATTCATGGGGAGGGCTGGTTTTCCACAAGGTGAGAAGATTCATGGAAATGAAGCCACACCATGGAGGTGCCTCCCTGGAGGTCCATCTTACTCTGGGTGCTGGCTCCCCATTTCTTCCTGTAGGCTCTGCCCCACTCTCCCACATTCCCTGGGGCTTGCCTACTGCCTGGACAGTCCCCAGAGTATCAGGGCTAACCATTTGCTCCCACTTTGGTGAGGCTTGGGTCACATGGGTCCCATATGACCAGGGCCATCTTGGTTAGAAGGCAGTTCCTGTGTGTGAGCCTTCAGATAGGATGGCCAGGACTGATCGTTTGAGGAGTTTTCTGCATGTAATGCTGGCGGAAAATGGGTTTTGAGGGAGTAAGAGATATTGGGAAAGGAAAACCAAGGGAAAGGAACAGATAAAGAGGATCAAGTCCTAACGCTAAGAAGCTATTAACACAAAACAAAAATAATAATCCAAGTGCCTAATATAGAAATTGATGGATTTTGGAAGTAATGGTATTGAAAGGTATATTGAGAAGACATATTCACTATGGCTTTCTTTATGTCTATTATTCTTAACATACTAGTAGCTTGTATACCATTCATTTAATTCAACTCAATATTTCTGCTTATTATATTCCAGGCACTATTTTAGGTCTTCTTGATATATCAGTCAACAAAAGTCCCTACACTTGCCGACACCGGTTTGGCTCAATGGATAGAGTGTCAGCCTGAGGACTGAAGGGTCCCAGGTTCGAGTCTAGTCAAGGGCATGTATCTTTGTTGTGGGCACATCCCCAGTAGGAGGTGTGCAGGAGGCAGCTGATCAATGTTTCTCTCTCATTGATGTTTCTAACTTTCTATCCCTCTCTTTTCCTCTCTGTAAAAAGTCATTAATATATATATATATTTTAAAGTCCCTAGGCTCAGGAGCTCATATTCCAGGAGGAATATAGTAGATTTTTGTCATTTTAAAATATACTTAATAGCCGAAACCGGTTTGGCTCAGTGGATAGAGCGTTGGCCTGCGGACTGGAAGGTCCCGGGTTCAATTCCGGTCAAGGGCATGTACATTGGTTGCGGGCACATCTCCAGTAGGGGCTGTGCAGGAGGCAGCTGGTCAATGTTCCTCTCTCATCGATGTTTCTAGCTCTCTATCCCTCTCCCTTCCTCTCTGTGAAAAAAATCAATAAAATATTTAAAAAATAAAAAAATAAAATATAGTTAATAAAAGGTAATAAAGTGGAAAGAGCAATATATGTAACAGCAAAACAAAAAGACTAGAAGGAGATGAAATTAAGAAAACAAGCATAAACATCTATGAAGGGTTAAAGCTGTCCACAAGAGCTGTGTTACTCCCCCATTCAGGGGTGGCGCTTGTTTCTATGTCTTTGGAATCTGGGCTCAGCCTGTGACTGTTTGTGCCAGTTATGGGTCTAAAGCTTTAAGAAGGCCTGCTGGTCCTACTTTTAGGAGTTTAGGAACTCTGAAGGAATCCAGCTACACCATGGAGAGATCATGGGAGAAGAGGGGTCCTGAGATGATTCAAAGAGAAACAGAGGTCCAGCTGTCCCAGCTGACCCAGGCACCATGGCTCCATCCTGAGTGACAGTTTGAATTGTTTCAGCCAAGTCAGCCCCCCAGATGACCATAGCCCCAGCTGACATCAGATGAAGCACGAGGAAGACCATCCAGCTGATCCCCAACAGCCCACAGAATCATGATAGATCATCAATGCTTATTGTTTTAAGTCGCTACACTTTAAGGCAGTGAACGATGCTGCAATAGAAAGCCAGAACAGGAAGTGGTACCTGGGAGTGAGATGCTACATGACAAAAACCTAAAACATGTGAATGATGGTTTATTTTATGTATCAACTTGGTTAAGCCATGGTACCCAGGTATTTGGTCAGACATCTGGATGTCTCTGTGAAGGTATTTCTTTTAATATATTTTACTGATATTTTACGGAGAGGAAGGGAGAAGGGTAGAGAGTTATAAACATCGATGAGAGAGAAACATCGATCAGCAGCCTCCTGCACACCCCTACTGGTACATGCCCTTGACCGGAATTGAACCTGGGACCCATCAGTCCCCAGGCCGACGCTCTATCCAGTGAGGCAAACTGGCTAGGGCTGTGAAGATATTTTTTAGATGAGATTAACCATTCATTAAGTCCATAATTTTGTTTTCTTTTAGTGGATTACTCTCTGTGTGTAGGTGCCATCATTCCATGTTATCGCTGAGACCCCTGCAGCACAGAGAAAGGAAGGTCAACTTACATTGCAACAGAGCCAAGATTTTTACACAAGCAGTGACTCCAGAATTCCTTCCCTAAACCACACAAGGATAAACTGACCATAATTCGGGTTTAAGTCTATTGACTAAAAATTACTGCCAATAGCATCCTCTTTATTTATAAAATGTCTTCAGAGAAAGACAATAAATGTTTATGGTCACTCTACCATAGCAATGACTGAATTCATTTTTGGCAACGTACTCAAGCTCTCCGCTTCAGTCTGCTTGTGTGCACAATGGGTCAGCAGTAGTCTCTGCCTCGTATAGTTGCTAAGGATAAATGCTTTGGTATTCTAAATGCCTGGCTCATAGAACGACATTAACTACTAGCCTATGTAGAGTGTGCGAACAAGTATTGTGAGGTATGTGCATGTTCAAAAACTACCAACAGAAGAGAGCTGCTGTAGCCCTCACCAGTTTGGCTCGGTGCATAGCGTGTTGGCCTATGGACTGAAGGGTCCCAGGTTGATTCAGGGCTCTCTTCTGGTCAAGGGCACATGCCTGGGTTGCAGGCTCAGTCCCCAATAGGCTCTCTCTCTCTCCTTCTCCCTTCCTCTCTGAAATAAATAAAAATTATATTTTTTTAAAAAAGGAAGCTAGGCCCTGTTGATATTGTAAAGATATGTACATGAGCACACATATACATATTGAACATATATATGTATACATATGTGTACGTGTGTGTGTTTAATAGTGAGCAAGCAGCCTGAGAAACATGAAAAGCCAGTGATCTGTGGTGTACCCTGCTTGCCATGTGGATGTGCTAGCCAAAGATGAACAACAACAAACATTTAAAAATGTCAAGTTCAAATTTTTAAAAAAATCACTTTTATCATTAGCAATTCGAATTGGACATCACTTGATTTAATTAGTACTAAACGTCACAGCCAGAAGGAAAGACTCAACTTCCAATTTCTCCCTCAATGAACTAGTTAGTTATTAGTAAGCACAACTTAAGGGACCCTGGCACTCCTTGGACTTAACACTTTGAGACAAAGACCTGGGGCATTGCATTAGAACCGGATCCTTGAGCGCCTGGGGCGGTAGGGAAACGGGAGGGGGTGGGGAGTGGGGCGCTCTCACTGCTCCCAGCCCAGGCTGCGGGCGGTCGTTTAGGAGGCAGAAGTGTGCAATCTCAAACTCCCCTTCTGCAGCCCGAAAACTAGCTCCCAGCGTGTTCTACTCTAGTAGAATTTCAAAAATGGGTTCTCTGTTGGGAGCCAAGCCCTGGGAATGGCTCTCTGTGGAGAGAGATTAGCAGCTGGCGGGGAGGGGGCATGAGGAACCTTCGGGAACTGGTCCCCTGGCTGATGTGGGTGGTGCTTGATTCATCGATTCATCTATTCATCGACTCACTGAGCTGATTCGCTTTCCCTTTAAATTAAGGCTCAATCGCTCAAGTTGTTACCGTTTTTGCTTTGTAGGTTAAATGAGTTCCCTAGAGGACTGGGGTCCTGGGGCGCTGTTTTCTATTAAAGAATGAAGCTCATCTCAGAGCCTGGCCCTTCGGATGCCATCCAGTCACCCGGAGCTCTGCAGCTCTGCCAGCCGCCTCAGCAGGTGCCACCTGGAGCCTCCGGGGCATGTTCAGGTCCCAGACCGGGTCGGGAACCCCAGGTGGAGTAGAAAATGCCACCAAACCCCACCCTTCCCCGCCCGCCCCGCGTGCACGTCTGCGGGGGCTTCTGTCCCTGCAGCGGGGCCGAGGGCGCTGAGGGTCAGGACGGCCGGGCCTCTGGGCCCCTTGCCCACGGGGCGGTCATCTCTGCCAAGTGTTCGCAGCTGAGCTGGCTCCAGCTCCTGCGAGGGGTTCACGAAATGGCCAGCCAGAGGGCTCTCCGCGCGCCCCAAACAGAAGATGCCTTGTTGGGGCCATCAGACAGCTCCCCCGCGCACCCAGCCGGACCCCCTGCATTCCCAGCCGCCCTCCCTGCGCCCCCAGCCGCGCCCCCCTGCACCCCTAGCCCCTACCTCTTGCACCCCCAGCCGCCCCCCTCCTGCGCCCCCAGCCGTGCCCTCTCCCCGCGCCCCCAGCCGGCCTCCCCCCGCACCCCCAGCCGGCCCCCCTGCACTCCAAGCCGCGCCCCCTTCTGCGCTCCCAGCCGCTCCCCCACCCAGCACCCCCAGCCGCGCGCATCCCCAGAGGCGCCCAGACGGCTCACCCCAGCTCAGGCCGCAGCAGCTGCGTGTAGGTGAAGCAGCGGCCCAGGACGATCTCGGAGAAGTGCGGGGTGCTGCCCGTCCCGTTCCACGCTCTGGGCGGGGGCGCGCGGGGCCACTTCAGAACTCCCACCACCACCGCAACCGCCACCAGGACGCACAGGAGGACGCCCAGGCAGACCTTGGCCTTCCTGGAGAGATGGCAGCAGCCGGGTTCCTCCTCCGTGGGCACGGAGCTGAATCTGTGGTCGGACATGGGGGCCGCTGCAGGGTCAGCTGGGCGAGTGGGAGGAGAGGGGCGCCCCGCCGGGCTGGGCAGGGGGGGAGGAGAGAGCTGCCCCTTCGGAAGCTGCACCTTCCCCTTTACTTCTTACTGGCCTATTCTGGGCTTCCTTTCCCACCCCAGCCCCTCCCTCAGTCCCCAGCTGGCCAGCCCACTGAGGATTTGAAGGACTTTAAAAGACTTGAGCCAGGGCAGAGTCATCTAAGCTAGGAAATTCCCTGACGGGGTTAACGGAAGAACTGCTAGCTGAGCAATTGACAGTCACCGCCCTAGACAGGATGGCATCTAGCCTCAGTGGCATTTCAGCTTCAGCCTCAGAAAAGCAGCAACGCCAGGTGAGTGGCTCCAGGGCCAGCTGGGATGGCCAGTGACCCCCTGCCCTGCCTGGAACCAGTCAGTAGAAACCAGGAGTCTGAAGGAGCACACCTGGAAACCAGGACTGTTCTGCTGAAACCCTCCCCTGAGGCCTGCCTGAGGGGAGAGATAAAGCCCTCAAGTCAAAGGACTCTCCAGGAGCACCCCTGCACCATGGAGCACCCCTGTGCCATGGAGCACCCCTGCGCCATTCCCAGACACCCCCTGCCTCTCCTCCCTCCCCCACCTATAAACACCAAGGGACCCCACAAGGCTTGCAATCAGGGGAGCCATGGGCAGCGGAGGCTCCTCCAGGGTTAATTCCCTGTCACTGAGGTTCTGCCACTGGCATATTTCTATGGCTTCCCAGGGAGCTGGCAGCAGCTCCGCCTCCACCTTCACTCCTTTCTTTCATTTTTTTCCTGCAGGGGTTGGCTCTCCGGTAGCCTCTTCTATGCTAAGCTCTTCCTGGTTCCACTGTCCTCAATCATAAACGTACCCTCATCATAAACAATAAGAGGGAGGGGGGAGGCAGCCACCTTCAACTTACTGTGCAGATGCCTTCATCACACACCGGATCCTCTTGCCCCTCCAGGCCAGCTCCCTTTGCCAGCCGGTGAACTTTGCACTTTAGCCACACTGCTTCCTGGATGCCTGCCCGGGCACCTTTGTACAAGCAATGCGGTTACCGGCAAAGCAGTGCTCTCCTTGTACTTAGTGTTGTGGGGTCGAATCCTGGGTTTAAAATGAGACCACCGGAGGCTAATGATTAATTTTTTTTAAAAGTAGGCAAGGATTTATTGAAATAAAAACTGGCCAGGACAGCCGCGAGAGCACCACACGCAGGTGGTCTCCACACGACTGCACCGTTTCAGGGGTAGGCAGTCCCTTTTAAAGGTTCAAACCACAGGAATTTTCCTTTGTCCTAAATTTTAAATCCTAAAGACTACATTCTAAAGACTGGGGTCAGCCTGCAGGGTCGATGCTAGTCACATCCTGCTGGACATTGGAATGTGTCCATAACACCGAAACAGAGCTCAGCGGTTAGTCTCTAAAGGTTATCTACAGTTTCTATCCCTGAAGCTACTGAGTCAGTGGGAATCAATCTACTGTGGTCCTGATCCCAGGCAAGGGAAAATTGCCTTAGTCTCCAGGTCTCCTGGAAGCTGAGGTAAGTACCCTGTGTTTTAATCATGTACAGGAGCCAAACTAGAAGGGTTAAAATTCAAACAGCAGTTTTTACCAAAGTATGGTTGCCACTATATTTCACTTAGCGTTGGCAAAGGCCTGCTCAGTCCTCTGTCAAAGGCTCCACCTAGGCCTGACGCCTGGTCCCAAGTGGCATCCTGGTAAAGGTCTGGGTTCAGACTTAGCTTCATCACCCCATGGCTGGGCGAGGTGGGGTAAGTTACTTGGCCTCTCTGTGATTCACATGTACAGTGGGGCCAATACCAGTATGCGTTGCATGGTGTTGTTATGAGGAGTGAGTTCATACTGACAGCATGGTCGGTGTAATGCCTGCTCCATGGTAAGCATGCCGTCGGTGTTCACTCTTCCTACTTGCTTGGTGAGCATGTGCAAGGGGGTGCCTTTCTATCCTCCATGGGCTGTACTTAGAAAATGTCTGGCATGCAGCTGAGTGGTGGTTCAATGACTAACCAAGTGGCTTTTCCCAGACATCCCTACCCCTCCTCTCTCAGGGTCCTTGGCACGGGGAGGTGTGGGTGGAAGCTCTGCCGCCCCTGAGAGGGCGAACCTGGCATTAGGGGTTGGAAGGTCAGTGGATTTGCTGGCTGTGACCTCAGACATTCTCTTTCAGAGGCTCCTCAGTGAAATGAGAAGTCCCTGCTGAGAGTGGGCAGAGTGCTGGTGCAGCTGCAGGAGCTGGGGGAGCTGATGGGACAGGAAATGAGAGGTCCCCAGGGTGTCAAGAAGGTGTCAGGAAGTTAAAGAAACACCAGATGTTGCAGGCAAATTGTCAGCAGGTGGTTGGTTCTCATGGGGGGAAATGGGGGCAGGGCTGTCATAACAAAGCTACAGAGTCTGTTGTGGCTTAAACAACAGAAACTTATTTTCCCACCAGCCTGGAGGCTAGAAATCGGAGTTCAGGATGTCAGCAGGGTTGATTTTCTCCTGGGCTTCTTCCCCTTGGCTTAGAGATAGCTGCCTTCTTGCTGTGTCTTCAAATGGTCTTCCTCCTGTGTGTCCACACTTCTGTGTAACAGTTTCCTCTTCTGATAGCGACACCAGTTACATTGGTTAGGGCCCATCCGATGGACTTCACTTGAACTCAGTTACCTCTTTAAAGGTCCTGTCACATTCTGAGGCCCTGGGGGTTAGAACTCCAACATATGAATTTGGGATGGGGACACCATTCAACACACCACACCAGGTAAAAACAATGCAGTGAGAGAAAGGCAAGCAGGCCGGAAGTTTCAGCAAAGATGGAACTTTAATAATGGGACATAGCACCTAAGTCCCACAGAAACCGAAGTGGGGACAGAAGGACAATGAGAGACAGTGAAGATGAGGCACTCCATGCAGGAAGGGCTTGATGGGGCCAAAGAATTGATAGAGGAGGGAATACATCCCCTTGCAAATCAATCCGTCCAGAACTCAACTATTGATCTTCCTCCTTCAAACCAGTTCTTTTCTGGTCTTTCAAATTTCAGTAAAAGGACCCCCTCCCCAATCCAGCTCAGGCTGGAAACTTCCAAATCTTTGAACCCTTTCTTCTTCCTCCTCCCACACATCTATCCAGAAGTTGGTTCCTTCTGCCTTATATTAATGATATTTGACATTTAATATTACTTATAATTAATGAATATTAAATATCTACTTTACTCACCTCCACTGCCACCAGTTAGTCCAAGAGTTAGCCTCTTTCTCACCTAGGCAGGGCTCATCTGGCCCTGAACTTTCTTCCATACTGAATAATGAGCAAGGTCCCAAACAAAGCTTGCCACCTGATCCTAATTGTACTGAGCCATCTGACAGCAATAGTGTTCTGGCTTGTAGAATGAAACATTTAAGACCTGCCACAAAAACTCCTTTAAAAAGGATATTTGGCCCAAATCAGTTTGGCTCGGTGAGTAGAGCATCAGCCTGCAGACTGAAAGGTCTCAGATTTGATTCTGGTCAAGGGCATGTACCTGGGTTTCGGGCACATCCCCAGTAGGGGGTGTACAGGAGGCAGCTGATTGATGTTTCTATCTCATCAAACATTGATGTTTCTAACTCTATCCCTCTTCCTCTCTGTAAAAAAAAATTAATAAAATATGTTTAAATAAATTAAAAGGATATTTGTTCTTGATAATAAAAGAGTAAATGTCAAATAGAGCAAAGTGAATATATAGAGCATCATTCTTTCTCCTGCCCCTGACTCTCCTCTTACCATATTAATGAACAGGCAACCTTCATACATGTGCATATGTACTAAGAGATAAACCTTCATAGTTTCACAAAAACCATGGCATATTGCACACTCCATTGTGCACCTGTCTTTCTTCACATTTAGAAGACATGACCTGCCAGCATATATTGCTTTACTTAATTCCTCTAATGACCCTTGGTATTCCAATGTGTGTATACCATGGTTTATTGAACTAGACCAGTGGTTGGCAAACTCATTAGTCAACTGAGCCAAATATCAACAGTACAACGATTGAAAACTTTTGAGGGCCACATTTTTTAAACTTAAATTTCTTCAAAACAGACTTGCCCAGGCTGTGGTATTTTGTGGAAGAGCCACACTCAAGGGGCCAAAGAGCCGCATGTGGCTCTCGAGCCACAGTTTGCTGACCACGGAATTAGACTATATAAATTGGCACCTAGGTTTTCCACTCCTTTGTTTCTACATTAAATATTGGAATAAATATTCTTGTGTAGACATATTTTTCTACATTTCTAAGAACATACACTCCTCAAAGTAGACTTCCTGGGTCAAAGGGAACGAACATTTAAGATTTTGCAAGATAAGGACAACCAAAGAGGTTGCACCAATGACACTGAAACTCCCACGGTTACACGATGGTATTTGTTCTGCTTTCATTTTTGGTTATTAACAGCACTTCAGTTTTTAGTATTTCCTTTTATTCGGTGCAATGGACACTTGAGAAAATAAAGTCTCAAAGGACCCTGTAATCCTTTGCCTGCCCAAGTCACTTGGTCAGTGAACCCTTTCACTGTGTTCTGTCCTCCTGCAAGTAAGGCGCTCAGCTATCATGCCATGCCCTGGGCAAAGAAGATTGCAGATGTGCAAAGAAATACCCCACCTCCCTATACTCCCTCTGGTTGTGGCATGATTTGGGGAAAGTTACATTTTTAAATATTTTCTCATCTATCTAATAGCTATAGTACAATGCTTCCTCAACAGGGGATTGATTGGGATACTATACATAGTAGGAAAGGTTAGACGCTGGACATAAGGTAATTTTGTCAATGTGAACTTATTTGCACATAGTTACAATTCACTGAGGCTCTTGAATATGGCAAATTCTGGTGTACATTCACTCAACACAAATTAAAGACCCACCATGTGCAGGCACCATGGTAGCTTGCTGAGGACACACACGTAAACTGGCCTTGAGGGAGCCAGTGTAGATCGGTTAAGGTCACGA